GTGTCAAGTTCAAAGAATTGTCGGCTTAGTCATTAGGAATTCAATGAGAAACAATTCCACCATAAGAACACATGTGGCATATAATTTTCTAATGGTGAACGCCAAATCATCCATGTGTTAAGTTCAAAGAATTGTTGGCTTAGTCATTAGGAAGGCAACTTTTGACTCCTAAACTACTACTTATTTTATAGGATTTGCCCCAAATATCATGCAATTGCTACTACATGGAAGACATAGTTATGAAGGTTTATGGAAAAGGAAATATGTGTGCAAATATATCAAGATAGATATTAGGAGTTGTGCTGGGTTGTGGCAAATTACCCAAAACGTGGACGATGATTCAAGTTAATGGGGGACGTGTATATGATACGGTATATTTATATAGAGCTCAAAATTCCAAAAGAAAAGGGATTCATACACAAAAAAGAAAGTTTTCAGGTCATGGGACACCTGGCACTACATGAGTATGCCAGTTGGAAGTTTCCAACTGATAATTGAACTGTCACCTTCAACTATCGAGAAGCTACAAAGAGTAATGGACAACGTGTATAAAGCCTAGTATATTAAAGAAAAGGAGTCTAAAGAAAACTTGAATATGGTGGGAAAAACTGCCAAGTGATAGAACACCTGGCAATGCACAGATGTGTCAAGTGGAAGCTTTCAACTGCTGCCAAAACTACGATCTCCAATTGCTGCAAGAAAAGTTCTATAAATAGAGTGCTTAGGTATGTGTTCGACTCGCGGTGAAGCGCTAGTTCCACTTTCCAGGTGAGTGGAAAGTAGGAGTGGATGTCGGGCGTGCCAGGAACTGCTGTCATTGCAAAGTGGATAACAGAACAACTATCCAGTAGGAAATTACAGGGATCAGGTGATTGAATGAAGGACTGGAATTACCACCTTCGAGGGTTCTTTTTGCTTTAAAAAAGGACTTTCGGACTGAACTATGGCTAGTGGAAAAGAAAGCGGTATTGAAAGTGCAGGACTTTAAAGTAAAGTGCTAGAAAGTAGGAATAATAAGTGCAGGATTTGAATTAAACATATTGAAGGTGCATTACATGAATGTAAATATATTAAAGTGTTGTTTTGCTGTGTGATTTAAATAGGGTTTGCAAGTGAAGCCTAAGTGTTCTATTTATAGAATTCTCCATGCATGCAGTAACTTGGTGTGGAAGCTTCAACAGCTTCCACGTGGACTGACTTTGGACTGCCATGTGTCCCATGATCTTTCAGCCTTCTCTAAATGTTGCCAAGTGTAAATCCATGTTCTCCCATGATCAACAACTGCTATATAGTGGTCTTTGGTGGTTGAATGCATGATTGCAAACCTTCTCCCACGTTCTGGAACTGCCCAGATGGAAAGTCGACAGTTCCAGAAGTAGTTGAGAACTTCCACCTAGAAGGTCCGGATCTTGCCACGTGTCCCATGTCTTTCTTATTCTTCTCATAATGTTGACACGTGTAAGAACATGATGTCCCATGAATTTTAGTTTTGAAGGAGTGGTTTTGGTGGTTCAGTTCCAATTAAAATCTTCTAGCCACGTTCTGGAATTGCCAAATGGAATGGGCCACGATCTCTTAACTGCCCCTAATTTGTAGGTAAGCCTGCCACATGTCCACTTGGAAAGTCATGTCTTTCCAACTGCATGTAACTGCCTTCTTCTCTGCCTGCCACGTGTCCACTTGGAAATTCATGTCTTTCCAATTGCATGTAATTGCTTACCTCTTTGGCTGACACGTGTCCCACATTTTCCTCATTTTTCTCTGGCAAATGCATCATGTTTTCAGCCCACTTTCCTGATTTTTAGCAACCTCCTCACATAAATAAGGCAAATGGTTGCCTTATTCTTGGAGTGACTCCTACAAACTAGGAGATATTATAGGAGTGGGGAAGTTGTCATTCTTGATGACTAGGTCAAAGGTACACATGGCTTTCTATATGTTTGCCACGTATCCACTTGGAAAGTCTACGTTTTTCCAACTGCATATCTTGTACCAAATGGCTTCATTTGATGAAGCCACGTGTTACTTCATGATTACGCTTTTGCATACCACTTTTCCAATTGGAATTGGCTACGACAATCTTTCCAACTGAAAAATATTTATGGTGTAATCATATGCCCCCCAAATTCTATGCCTTGTGGAACAATTTGATGATAAGGCATGGGATTTGAATTCCGCTATCATGAAGAAGAAGAAAAGGAAATTGAAGAGGAAAAACTGAAAGTATTGGACCATGTAATGTAGCCTCTTCTCAATGAAATGCTTCATACTTAGGAAATCAGCTGATCTTGGAAATTCAGCTAAGTCTGCTTCATAACTTTAACCAATGTACTTTTCCAAGTACTTAGCTTTTCCTTCTTGGAATGGCCGAAGTATGGCCATTACGCTTCCTTTTCAGCTTTCCGGTTTTCTTGGAAAAGAAGATACCAGCCATTCTACATGGCTGGTTGAACGATTGTGGATTTCTAATTTTCATAGATGGAAGGGTGATACTCATTCAAGTATACCCCATTCACAGTATGCTTGTGAGATCTTCCATCAATCAAAATGTAATGTAGTGCCAAAAGCTAAAGCCTCTTGTCCACATTGGTACTAAGCTCTTGCAAGAATTGGATAATTGGTGTTCTCCAATCTTCCAAGTCTAATCCATCTATATCAACATTGAAAATCTCCCATGTCTTCTTGGTAGGTTTGATTATTTCTGGCTCGTTAGCTTGGAAATGGCGTGCCATCTCATGCCATGACTCTATAAAAGGAAGAGTCCTTCTTTTGATTGTGATCATGGTCTCTTCTACTCCCGGTGGGATTTTCACTTGAGAGGCTAATTGGGCTAGATCATCAGCCTCCGTATTTAAATGTCTTGGCCAATATTTGAGTTGGAAATCATCAAACTGGCCAAGCAATTCCAAGGCCAATGAATGGAAAGGCCTTAAATGCCAGTTGCAAGTAAATTCACCTGGAAGGCTCCTAAAATAGATCTTCTTGCTGCTACTAGAACTATTAGAAGTTTCCATGTCTGTTTCATCTTTTATAGGAAGGACGTCTGCTAGCAAGGAGTTTCCAACTTCTAAATCAGGATCTAGCAAGTCATTAGGATCTCTAACTCCACCTTTAGCTGGAAGTTCTGACAAGTCAGATGGTTTGGCTATCTTCTTTGAACAATTAGTCCAACTATGATCTTTCTCCCATAATTTTCTTCTGTCAGCCCTCTTCCTTTGCTGCCTTCGCCTTTGTGTGCGAGTCATATAGGAATCATTATGGATAAGGAACTTGGGATGATCAAGCTTCTTCCATCTATCATTTTGCAAAGTGGGTGGCTTAACCGTTCTTGGACAAATATGTTCACTACCTTTTTTGACCCATACTTCCAAGGCCAATTTTGGTCTGAAACCTTTGTCACCTTCAAAGGTTCTACTATGCCAATTGTTGCTTTCCTAACTCCTGCTAGGACAAAGCCTTGTCTCATAAGAGACCCTATTTCTTTCCACACCCCTTAGAAGGAATTCTGGTTTCCTCACCGTTGACCTTCTTTTTGTATGAACACGACTTTCCTTCTTTGGAATGGTCACAGTGACTGAGCTTTCCACATTTTGGAGAGTTAGCCAGTCGTGGACCTTCCGTTTCTGTCCTCTGTCACTGTTGGAAAACCTTTCTTTCTGCTCCTCTTTTGGAAAGTCCCTATGACGTCCTTCTTTCTGAACTTTACACTTAGGACAACAACCTTACTGTATTAAGGCTATCTGAACCTCACAGAGCTGCCTTTCCAACTCGGCCACTATTTTCTCCATGGATGTTGCAGCTTCAGGAACTTCCAGATTTCCACTGGCTCTCGGCGCTGCCAAGTCCACCTTTTTCCTTGAATGCTCCGAGGCAAGAGAAGTAACATTTGTTGTAACAACATTGGGGAATGGATCTCCATCCACACCCATGACTTCCGTTTTTTTTGGAAACATCAACCTACCATCTTCGATTGCTTTTTGCACAATATTGCGGAAGATTACACAATTGTTAGTGGAATGCTTCCACGAATTGTCAAATTTGCAATACTCATTCCCGGCTATTTCGGAGGCTGTTGGCATCTTGTGGCCTGCTGTGAAAATTAGTTGTTTGTCAGCCATGAGTAAATCAAAAATCTGTTCGGCTTTAGAGATGTCAAAAGAGTAACTTTTGGAAGGGTCTGCCCCTTTCCATTTGGAACTAGAAGCTGCCTACAAGTTGGCCGTAGCTGATTTTGGTTTTGTCAAGGCGTCACAAGTGTAAGCCTTCTTTATGTTGAGCTCGGCTGCATTGACTTCAAACTCTCATTCAGTTTTAGTGGTATACACCTCATAGTTAGGATCACGATAGTAGGTGCCCTTTGAAGAGTTCTTCCTATCTTGCTCCTCACGAAGGAGCTCTTCATACTTAGCCACTTTGCCAGCTAAGTCGAACAAGTCATGGAACTGTACACCTTCAAACTTCTTACGAAGTTCAAATTCTAGTCCGTTCACAACCATCTTCACATATTCTTCTGGTGGCAAAGACAAATTACATTTGAACTTGGCCCGCCTGAATCTGGAAAGGAAGCTCATCACAGACTCTCCAGGTAGTTAATGAAGTCTGGAAAGGTCTGCTATGGACACTTCAAGCTCAGCTCTATAGAACTGAGTATGGAATAAATCCTTAAATTGCTGCCAACTTTGAATGGAGTTGGCTCGCAAGTTGGAATACCATCTGAAAGCATATCCCGTCAGTGTGTTTGGAAACAAGTGTACTTTCAGCCATGGATTGGTTGTTGTTTCTCCACATTGGACAGTGAACCGACTGATATGTTCCAAGGTAGACTGTTCGCCCTCTCCATTGAACGTTGCAAACTCTGGAATTCTAAAATTCCTTAGAAATTCAACTTCATCAATGAACTCTGGATAGGGCTTTCTATAAGTTGGCCTTCCACCCTTTCGAGTTAGGCCAAATTCCTGCTGAAGGAATTCTGTAAATTGGCCTCTGTCAATTGCCATAGGTTATGGAGGGTTGTTGTCTGGCCAACCTTGAGGTTGATTGGCCACTTGATACCCTCCACCCGCCATAAGCAAGGGGTTGGCATCTGCATAGTTGTTCCTGCCACGGTTCCTTCCTCCTTGGTCAAGAAATGGCTCTCTTGGAAAAGGTTGCCCCCCAACCGCCATAGGAATGACCATAGGTGGTGGCCTTGCTGGAACAGGTGCGGCTGGCTGAATGTTCACAGGTGGAACATTCTGTTATGCTTGAGGGTTGTGGTATGGCCATTGTTGGCCAGGCTGATCATGCCAAGTCTGTTGTGGAAATACCACAGGTGGAGGATTCTGAACTTGCTGGATGGTTGGCATAGGCGCAGCTTTTGGAATAGTCATCTGTACCATTGGAGCAGTCACAGGTGCAGCTGGAATGTAAGTTTGCGCCATTGGAAGGGACTGCACCTGCTGCTGAGTTGGAGGGAGTGGACCTACATGTTGCTGAGAGGAACTCCCTTCAACAAATATGGCCGGCCTACTAGCTTGGAAGGCTGACTGTTGGGACCCTTCAGAGTTGTTTGGCCGAGGAGCCAAACCTTGGTTTAAGCTTCCAAGGGTCCGTTCCAACATAGACTCGAACCTTTGAGAGATTCGGTCCACCATGTCTCCTAACTTTCGGTTTTGAGAAAGAACAGCTTTAGATTGGTCTTGAGCAACTCTGGCTAAGTTTTGAGCGACTTTTGCTTGGTCTTGCGCAAACCTATCTTGCTGCATTGCCATCATGCGGATGTTGTCCATGATGGGTCCATTTGCCATTGTTTGAGCAAATTTTTCCACCATATCATTTTCATCAGGTGCGAATCGTGAACTTTCCACTGGAAGTTCACTAACTTGCATCTCTTCTAGTTCGGCAGGGTCTTGGACAGACTTGCCTTGCCTTCTTCCACCGGCCATTGAACAATCTGTCTAGATGTCCCACCGGGCGTGCCAAGAATGTTTGGCTCGCGGTGAAGTGCTAGTTCCACTTTCCAAGTGAGTGGAAAGTAGGAGTGGATGTCGGGCGTGCCAAGAACTGCTGTCATTCCAAAGTGGATATCCGAACAACTATCCAGTAGAAAATTGCAGGGATCAGGCGATTGAATGAAGGACTAGAATAACTACCTTCAAGGGTTCTTTTTGCCTTGAAAAAAGACTTTCGAACTGAACTATGGCTAGTGGAAAAGAAAGCGGTATTGAAAGTGCAGGACTTCAAAGTAAAGTGCTGGAAAGTAGGAATAATAAGTGCAGGACTTGAATTAAACATATTGAAGGTGTATTACATGAATGTAAAGATACATGAATGTAAATATATTAAAGTGTTGTTTTGCTGTGTGATTTGAACAGGGTTTGCAAGTGAAGCCTAAGTGTTCTATTTATAGAATTCTCCATGCATGCAGTAATTTGGTGTGGAAGCTTCAACAGCTTCCACGTGGACTGACTTTGGACTGCCACGTGTCCCATGATCTTTCAGCCTTCTCTAAATGTTGCCAAGTGTAAACCCATGTTCTCCCATGATCTACAACTGCTATATAGTGGTCTTTGGCGGTTGAAATGTATGATTGCAAACCTTCTCCCACGTTCTGGAACTGCCCAGATGGAAAGTCGACAGTTCTAGCAGCAGTTGAGAACTTCCACCTGGAAGGTCCGAATCTTACCACGTGTCCCATGTCTTCCTTATTCTTCTCATAATGTTGACACGTGTAAGAACATGATGTCCCATGAATTTCAGTTTTGAAGGAGTGGTTTTGGTGGTTCAGTTCCAATTAAAATCTTCTAGCCACGTTCTGGAACTGCCAAATGGAATAGGCCACGATCTCCTAACTGCCCCTAATTTGTAGGTAAGCCTGCCACATGTCCACTTGGAAAGTCATGTCTTTCCAACTGCATGTAACTGTCTCCTTCTCTGCCTGCCACGTGTCCACTTGGAAATTCATGTCTTTCCAATTGCATGTAATTGCTTACCTCTTTGGCTAACATGTGTCCCACGTTTTCCTCATTTTTCTCTGGCAAATGCATCATGTTTTCAGCCCACTTTCCTGATTTTTAGCAACCTTCTTACGGAAATAAGGTAAATGGTTGCCTTATTCTTAGAGTGACTCCTACAAACTAGGAGATATTACAGGAGTGGGGAAGTTGTCATTCTTGATGACTAGGTCAAAGGTACACATGGCTTTTTATATGTTTGCCACGTGTCCACTTGGAAAGTCTTCGTCTTTCCAACTGCATATCTTGTACCAAATGGCTTCATTTGATGAAGCCACGTGTTACTTCATGATTACGCTTTTGCATACCACCTTTCCAATTGGAATTGGCTACGACAATCTTTCCAACTGAAAAATATTTATGGTGTAATCAGTATGTGGCAAACATTGTTCAACAGACACAACAAACAATACAACATTTTGCTTATCAATTCATGTATCTCTTCATTCATGCAATGAAGTTACATTATGTTTAATTTAAGTCTTGCATTTTCTTTCATTACTTTCCAGCAAGTAGTTCTTAGTTCATTTAATTTCAAGTCCTGCACTTGCAATTTCGTTCTTCTTTCCATTAGTTATAGAAAATTCCCTAAGTCTTTTCTCAAGGCAAAAAGAACATTTGAAGAGGTCATTCCAGTCTTTCTTACAATCGCTTGATCTCACAATTTTCAACTGGAATACTATTTGGAAAATCTTTGGAACGACAGTAGTTCCTACCACGTCCGCACCTTTCCATTCCCCTGGAAAGGACTCATTTTTAGCTGCCAAACAGATTCCAATGATTCTTTAAAAAATTGGGATCGAAATCATTGAGATATAGAACTGGACTATAAAATACTTATTTAGTTCGATTCCAAACCACGATTCACTGTTTCTGGAACAGATGGTCTAATATTCATTTAACTATCTGGATTTAAACTCTATCCAACTTCTATGTGACATGTAAAACAATGATTTCTGTATAGATATTATATCTATAATGTATTTATAGTATGCATTAATAGAGGTAACATATGGGTTCCATAGGTAAAAAGTGAAAAGAAATGAAAAAAAACGGGTGATTTTGTGTGCGCGCTGAGACTAATCTCTGTATATGGCATGTGATATAATATGTGTGTGTCTTAGGGAGAGAAAAATAAAAGCTTTCATGTGACACCACACATAGTATTATATAAGGAAAGTAAAAGTTTGTAGTGTGAGTGCGATATATGCTGAAATATAGAAAGCTGGTTGGATAAGGATAGATGACTGCCAATATAGGAAGGTGGTTGGATAAGGTCAGATATCTCAAGCTATCGGGCGGCTAGAAGTTCTTTTTGTATTACACTTTCATCTATAAAAAATTAGGTGTTCAGAAGGAAAACTCATTCCATCGTCAAAGTGAAGTTTTAAATATATTTGTGTAACTTTCTTTGAGCAAATTCTTATAAAATTTGCTCTGTTGTTATATTTTAAGTCTAAGATATATAATATATCTTTAATATATATTTAATTTTCGATTAGGTTACATGAATAATGTTAGCATAATTTAAGAATGCATTTGAGATCAAAATTATTTTTAAGAAACCTAAGGACTATCATATTCTATGTACATTATCATTTCGCTTCTTTTAAGCGTTTAAAAAAAATCATTTGATTTTTTCATTTTTTTATTTTTGATAGGAAATCATGCCTTAAACTTGATTTTGAACTCAAAGTTGAAAGGAAAAAGAAAGAAGAAAAGTTGAAAGCTGTCACAGATTGAAAAAAAAAAAAAAAAAAAACAAAGTACTATAAAAAAAAAAATGAATTTCAAAGATAGTTTATTTAGTTTTTAGAATATAAAATTGAACTAGTTTATATTTGTGCTGAATTTATTTTTCATTGTGCACATAACTGATAGAAATTGATTTTTAAAAATCAAGAAATGCACAAAATTTTGGATATATATATATATATATATATATATATACACACACACAACCACTTAATCATAGGTTGGTATAATCTCTTCAGAAATTGAGAATTAGACTGCACTTTATTTTCACCATTCAAAAGAACTTAGTCCTCATGACACAAACGCACTTGCAATTGCAATTCCCTATCATCACATGCAATATTCAAACACGAACTTACCCAAAAATATCAGGTGAGGGTGAGATCACTATAGGACTCCTCACAATATGCTTACCACCATCTTCTACCCAAATTACAGAACCATATGTGTGGCTTGTACCCTCCAATCCCCTATAACGTATAGTCAAAGAGTATCTCTTCTTCTCATACATCTTCTTAAAAACCAGTCTCTTCGGCGAGACTGTGACCACAGAACCCTTTGGTGCTTCAACCTTAGCTCTATAAGTGGCCGTGGCATTGCCAACATTCGTGACCATCCTCTGAAATTTCTGAACCAATTTATCATTTTCATCAGTGTACAACACAATAAAGGATGGGTAATTGAGGTCAGAAGACTGGTTTGAGCAACTGTAACCGTTTGATCTTGTAATGGTCAAAAATTGATTCTCAGTGAAGTTCAGTGAGCATATAAAATTCACATAGTCATTTGGAGTGGTATCATAGATAAAACCTGGATCAAGTGCTCGGTTAGGATCAACATGACCTGCCCCCATGGATAGGGGTGTAGCATCCGAATTATTTAAGCCATTGCGTCGAATAGGATTGCCACTGTTGTCAAATGGGGTGGCTGTGGTCATCATAGCAGACTTAATAGCAGCTGGACTCCATTCCGGGTGAGCCCCTTTTAGGAGGGCCGCGATGCCAGAAGCATGAGGACATGACATGGATGTGCCGGAGATCATATTGTAATCACTGGACAATATAATATTTGAGCCAATACTACTTGTTGGAGCATTTGGAATCCATGCTGCTAAAACTAATGTCCCGGGTGCCATTAGGTCCGGCTTCAAAATGGTGGGACAGCTCAAGGCAGGACCTCTTGCAGAGTATGAGGCAACAACAGGGGCACGCTTTGTACCATATTTGGTCTGTTGGAACTTGATGCTCGCTGTTGCTGTATTTGCACTTTCAGCATATTTGATCACGCTTGTGACTTCTTTAGTGCTAATCACAACTCCGGGACAGGGGAATTCATTGGATTCAAATACTTCAACATTATCAGAGAAAGCTTCTGCAGGATCATCTCTGATAAATATAGCTGCAGCCACATTTGACCGTGAGACATGCCCAGCTTGATCAATTACTGGATAAATATATGGATAATAAGATGCCTCAGCAATATCACAAATGAGGATGACATCACTAGGGGCTTCAGACAACAATTCAGTTGAATTGCATGGAGACAGAGTCTTGTTGTAAATGAGAGGGCGGTCTAACACTAAGGCACTGGCAGGGAACAGGGTCCATCCGGTGATGGTTAACCCATTTCCGAGAGTCAAAGTGCCGGCAAACCACCTATCGATTGAACCTGCCGCGACGGTCAAGATCCATGGGCTCACATTGCGCACTTGTCCAAGTGAATCCCCTCTATTGCCTGCTGAAGCTGAAACAAGCACACCCTTCTCCATGGCTGCAAAGGAAGCTATGGCGAAAGGATCCTCATACAGAGGTACCCCACGTCCGACACTCATTGAAACCGATATCACATCAACACCATCAGCTATGGCCTGGTCCATTCCGGCAAGGAAATCGGAAGCATACTCTCCTTCGTCCCAACTGACCTTATAGACGGCCACCCGAGCGCGGGGCGCAACCCCTTTTGCTGTCCCCTGTGCGTAGCCAAAGTATGAAACCCCTTCCACAATGTTTCCAGCAGCTGTGGAGGCGGTGTGCGTGCCGTGACCATCAGTGTCCCTTGCAGAATTCATGCGGATTGTGATATTGGGATCTGCAGCTAAAACCCCCTTGTTGAAGGATCTAGCTCCAATAATCTTCAAGTTGCACAATGAGGAATTGAACTCTTCTCCTTCCTCGCAC